GTCTAGAATGGGTCAGGGGAATATTTCAGTTAAAGTCTGTCTCACCATCACAGGTCAGCAGAGTTTGGAAGCAGAATGTCCAATGGCAAGTGTGGGCACACTAGGCAGGAAGCAGTGTGCTTCACCATGGGCTCCTTCAGGGAGAATCCCAGACAAGAGCTCATCATGGGACTATATTTATTCCAAGTAGTGCAAATCAATGGGCATATGTTACAGGGGGAAGAGTGAAGTAAACTTGAATGGAAGGGTTTTTAGATCTGAAAAAAAAAGCTTGAGTTGTGTACTGGAAAGGGCCAGGATCTACTCTTGTCTTGACTTTTTTTTTTTTTTTTTTTTCCAGCTGAGCCTTTTACACTGAAAATTAAGGCCTGGTATTTACTTCCCTACTTCCTTCTGTGGTTGCATTAGGGATATCCAGGTCCTATCTCATTAGGGTTCTAGAAAATGGGTGGGACAGAATCTGTCCATACCAGACCCTCTTCAGCCTTCTGGTTGGCTATAGAATCTATGTGATTCAATGTAGATCTGAGCACCTAAGAAGGTGGTATATGACTGGCTTCTTTTAACACACAATTTGACAGGATAATGGTGCTTACCGGGTGTAGAACATATAACAGATATGTCACTACTTTAGTACATGCACTACTTTAATAGATGTACCATGTGTAGTGGGTTGGAGTAGGTAGGCAGCTGGGCCAAGGGAGTTTGTGGAGAGGCTGAGCTGCACTGAAGCATTGATGATTAATATTGATAACAACCAATGACAAGTTGTCTGTTTACATGGTAAAATGGGTATATATCAAATGTATCCATCTTCAGTCTTAATGATGCCAGTTTACTCCTGCAGTAAGTTATAAGAGAATAACCATTATTATCTTATGATTATACTTGTTACCAGGTGCTGCTTATTACCAGAGAAAACAGCTCATAAGCATTTTGCCCATTGTCTCTGCCGTGACCATGTAGCCTGGTTAGGAAAAACTGGTCAGATACAACTGAATTTGAAGTTGCTATTTGTTCTTCGGCATTCTTTACTTCTTTGGCATAAAGATCAGGTGGCAGCTAAGGGATCCATACATGTAAAATCATACCTGAGTGAGCAAGGATCTACTCAGTATCTGGTTTAAAATAACAGTGTGGTTTATGGGGAGAAGCAAGGGCCAAGCATGTGGTCTTTGCCACTGACTAGTGTGTGATTTTGCATAGGTTACTCAATTTCCTCAAGTCTGTTTTCTCATTTGGAAATGTGGTAACACTACCTATGAATTGTGACAATTAAATTATTAAGTTAGGCAGCATAAATCCTTTAACACAGTTCCTGAAACATAAAAGGTGCTCAATGAACACCACCTATTCCTTGGCCATAGCTAATAATATATTCTAGGTGATAGTAAAAACTTGATTTGTTGATTTTCAACTACATAGAGACCCCCAAACTCATCTGTAAATTGCAGAGAGAGAATAATTCCAAAACATCTGAAAACCCTTCTATTTTAATGCCATTCTTAAGTCCTAGTGTATTTGAATACCTATTTACATTTTAAGGTTTAAGGTGGAACATCTTAAAAGCATTGCTTTTTTAGAGAGAGACTGAATTTCATTCCGTTAGTTTCTAGTAGCTAGAAGTCATGCCAGGCATTTTGCTATGTTCTACCTATATATGAGAAGTGAATATTAAAGGATAAGGGAGAAATCAGGATGAGAAAAGTAAAAGCAACAAGATTTCTGTTTTAAGTTGGACTGTATAACTGACTTCCTGAAATGCACAGTTTGGTAGAGTAACCGAGTTTAATGGGCATGAAGCAGCCAGCAAACACATCCACCTCCTTTAGTACGTGCAGTGCAGTAATGAGCATATGTGATATGAAGAGTAGGTGGGTGGGGGAGCTGGTCGTGGGAGCTTGGTGGAAGATTGGGCAGCCCTGTAAGTTTGAGAACTGATTTTGAAAACAACCCAATGACACTTTGCCTCTTTGCACTTAACAGATTCCTATACCCATATTAACTTAGTTTGTATGTCAGACTCCCTGGGTAGTTTGTCAGTTCCTTGAAGGCAGATACCATGTCCTATTTTTCTCCATATATCCATCCCCTAGCATGGGCACCCCATAAATATTTTTTTAAGTTTATTTATTTATTTTGAGAGAGAGAGAGAGAGAGCGAGCACAAGCAGGGGAGGGGCAGGGAGAGAGAGAGAATCCCAAGCAGGCTCTGCACTGTCAGTATGGAGCTTGATGTGGGGCTCAAAGTTACAAACCATGAGAACATGACATGAGCCATGTCATTTTTGAGCCAAAATCAAGAGTCAGACGCTTACTGATTGAGCTACCCAGGTGCCCCTCCATAAATATTTGATGGATGAATGAATAAATAAATGAATGATCACACAGTAAAGTACCCTGAGGTTACTGAGCTGAATGTGTCCTATAATCCTGAAAAGCTGAGACTGTAACTTCAGTAATACATGTGGGAAGAAATATCACCCATTGTCACAAAGTAGAGACCCACAGTCTTTTTTTTAATGTTTATTTATTTTTGAGAGAAAGAGGGACAGAGCACGAGCAGAGAAGGGACAGAGAGAGAGAGAGAGGGAGACACAGAATGTGAAGCAGGCTCCAGTCTCCTCTGCTGTCTGTGCTATCAGCGCAGAGCCTGATGTGGGACTCAAACCGACACGCTTCGAGATCATGACCTGAGCTGAAGCCGGGAGCTTAAGCAACTGAGCCACCCAGGCGCCCCAAGATCCACAGTCTTGATTCAGTAAACAATGTGCATATACATGTATATGTTTACAAATTTAAGTTAGTTAGTTACCTGTGGAAATTGGGATATGTCATAAAAATTTGATTTGCATAGTTTCCTCGATTGAATCTTGACTGAGACACCATTTTTCTTGAAAAAAGAAAAGACTTGGCCTTACAAGTTCAAATGCTTACATAAAAAAATTTGGCCAGAACTCAGTGGTGAATGCCTTCTCTGGATGGGACATATAATCTGTAATTCTCCATTGTCCCCGCCTGCTCATTTTACTCATTTATGTTAACTACTTATCCTGAGTAGCTGCTTGAGTTTGTAACCTCTGCACCAGATGATGGTCTGGGTGAAAAGGGGCACACAAGGAAGAAGGGGATACTTTCTGTTCTTAAAATATTGTGAGAAGTCTGATTGGACCTGATGGGAAGCTGTTTGCTTGGAGCTGGACAGAATGCACACCCACAGAGCAGCTGTACTGGAGGGCAAAGCTGATACAACCGTTTGTGCAATGAGAGGTGGAGGGAAAAGCAATGGAAGATTCCAAATTCCAGTTCATTAGGCTGCATAATGGCCCTTCATAGTCAACAAAGACCAATCTTTCAACAGTCGTGGGCTCACAATTAAAGAAGTTGTTTCTTAAGGAGGAAGAGCAGAATGGAGGTAGGCTGAGATTGTACTCAGTCCAAACTACCTCATACAGCTCTCTGGTTCTTAGAAGTCAGCCAATTCAATTTAATTTCATTTGGCTTCCCCTTTCAAAACTGCATACATTGGATGACACAATCTGTTATATTAGATTTACTAATATTTTATAGTGATGCAGCAAAGAGCAGGCCAAGTACCTTAGACACATGAGATTTATGGCCCAGTGATTAATCTTGTAAAAATAATGAATTGCCACCAAAAAGGGGGAAAGAACAGATTCTTTCCCAAACAGGAAAGGAAATCTAACCCACGTATTTGATGGATGAGTATTTAAAAAAAAAACAAAACAAACAAATAGGAAACATTTGGAATCGAAAAAACCTCTTCCTGAACACCCAACAGTCACCATCTTCCAAAACCAACTTGGTGGGTGCAGTTGGCAAACGGAATTGGACCTCTCACCTTAAGAATATTAGCAAATTGCAATGGGTGTGCTCCAGAAGAAATACAATCTTCTTACACTAGGACTTTCCAGCAGGAATGCAGCTTCTACAGTTGGCAGATCTAACTGACACTCGCAAATAGGTCCAGTTTGAAAGATGAGGATTCAGGATGCAGTGAACAGCATATTTTTCTTATTATTTTTATGTGTATCTAGCCTTTTGGAAAAAAAGGTAGAAAAATGTTTCTGAAACTCAAACTCCAATGACTTATAAAAGCCATCTCTTAATCTTTCCTCCAGTTTTTTTATTCATTCATTCATTCATTCATTTATTTGAAAGGAAAGGGTAAAAATGAAATGTATTCTTTTTTAGATATAAAGGAAAAGCAATTTTGATTGTTTGAGGAGGAGGGGTATGTGACAGGTTGGCTAAAGCTATACATTTTCACATACATACTATAATTCTGGTAGCACTCCTGCTTATTATTATCAGCCTTTAAAATGAAAAACCTACCTTTTCTCAAGTGGTATTACCCTATAGTACATTGCTTTATTTTTTTAAGATTTATATAAAAATTCAGGGGAGTCTTGCTTCACTGGTTTTTCATGAAAGAAAACATTTCCTTTGCAGATTGGAATTAAAAAATGCAACTATTGGACTTGTTTTCCTTTTCCTTCCTCTAAAACCAAGAAACATATTTTTCTTTCTGCACCGAGACTATTACTGAGCTATCAGATGACCAGTTGGGTCCTGAAACCAAGATATTTATAGTCTGTAAATATTTTTATGGTGGTAGTGGTGAAGAAAGGGGTGGTCTTCCCTATACACACAGATTGCCTTATAATTTTTTTTTAACATTTAAAAGTAAAGTCCATTTTTCCTGCATGAGAACAAAGCAATCTGTTTCTGCTGGGAGGACTTATGGTGATTTTCTTTTATTGCCCTCTCAGACATGTGGATCTGTGATTATACAGATTTTGGATCTATTTTTGAAGTTCTCTTTCATGTACAGCATAGGTATTGAGAAATCAAAAAGGTTTATAAACATAGACAAAATTATATTTCAAACAGCATTCTTTTTTCTGAATCAGTTTTATCTTAGAGCACATAGTCCTGAAAACAAAGTAACCCAGGAATTTACATTTAAAAATATTGCTGTTTGTGCATCAAAAGCAATTTATTGATGTATAAGTCAGCTATGCTTTGGTAACAAATGATTCGTAAATCTCAGTAATTTAGAATAACAAAAGTGTCTGAGGATCAGCTGTGGCTCTGTGTTATCCTCTTATTCCAGGATCCAGATAAAGGAGCAGCTTTTATTTGAAACATGTCTTTTTCAGGCCTAAAGAAAAAGAGCAAGAGACACTCATCATGGCTCTTAAAGCTTCTGCTTGGATGTGGCATGAGTCACACATGCTTTTGACTAAAGCAAGTCACATGACTAAGACCGATATCAGTTGACACACGGAGGTATATTTCTCCCACAAGAAGTCATTGCAGTTTCCATGGTAATGGGTAAGATGAATAATTATCCTAAAGGAAAGAGGAAAGAAATAATTGAAAGTCACAATGCAATCCACCAGAATGATCATGAAGAAGTTCTATAAACCCATCACCAGTCAGTCTAGGAAGCTTCTAGTCTCCATCCTACTTCCACGATTTAAATCAGGACTGTCCCAGCCCCGAAGAACACATCCAGAGTTCCTTCCTCCTGTTGTTTGATGTGCACTCAGGATACTAAAAAAAATATACCTTTTATTATTTGCATAAGCAGAGAAAATTTAGAAGGGTCAAAGTTCTAAAAGAAAAGCATTATGATATAGCTCACAACTGGAGACTCATACAAATATTGCTCAATATTCCTAATTTCTTCTACCTTCTCTTATGCTTTTTTTCTTTCCTTCTTTGTCTTCCAACCTCTCCTCTTCTCCCCTTCCCCAAATACATACATTTTATTTATTATATCTCTCACTTTTTCTTAATTTCTCTTCTCTCCTATTCTCTTTTCTCTTTTAATTTAATCAACTCATTCTTTCAATTAATATTACTTCCTAAATACATCTAGGATACTAAGATGAAACAGACATGGTCCCTAGCTCAATTTATGAAATAAGAAAATTCTATTAAGTCTGTCCAAGGTACTTTCTAACTCTGAAATCCTATGATTATTTGTTCCCTAGGGTATGCATATTTGCAGGAGAGAAAGGGATATACAAAGTTAGAGACAGTATAAGGTGACATGTTTTAAATGCCAGAAAAAGCTAATTATGAAGTGTTATCGAAATTCAGCAGGAGGAGATTGTTTTTAGGATGGGTTGGCAATAGATCAGTCTCATTATCTGAATTTTTAAATCATTCCCTCTCTAGAAAATTTCTCTTCTCTTTCATTAGCTGACTCTTTCTCTCTGTCTCAGATATTTTATTGTTGGTGATTAGACCAGGGCTCTGAATCTAGTTCCTATATTACCAGGACTCTATTTCCAAGTTACAGAAACCCAATTCAAACTGGCTTAAGCCGAAAAAGGAAATGTACTGCCTTTTAAAATGGAAAAGTATCAAGCCTATGGGCATATAATATAGGTATTTTTTTAAGTTTATTTATTTATTTTGAGAGAGAGAGAGAGAGGCAGAGAGGGAGGGAGAGAGAATCCCAAGTAGGATCCATGCTGACAGCACAGAGACTGACATGGGCTCAAACCCATGTACCATGAAATCATGACCTGGGCCAAATCCAAGAGTAGGACACTTAACCAACTGAGCCACCCAGGCACTCCAGAATCTAGGTATTTAAGAGATGTCCTCTAGAATCTATTTCTTTTCCTTGGCTTTTCTTTTCTTGGTGTTGGCTTTATTTGCAAGCATGCTCTTCCCTCATGACTCCAAGATGGCCTTACAGACTCACCGCCTACCAGTTTCTCAACCTTAGCATTTCCAGCAAAGATTCTCCTGTCATTGGTCTGACCTGGAAAACTGTCCTGATCCTGAATCAATTACAGTAAGTAGGGAAATGGAATGCTTCAAATGGTCAGGCAGAGGTCACGTTACCTACTGCTCTTGGGGGCTGAAGGAAAGTGAGACTTCCTTGTAAATGTACAGAGAATGTGTGTAACTAAAGAAAATAAGGTTGCTGTTTGAGAATGGAAAACAGACTTGCAAAAATGACAGATATCTGCTACATAGTATAGGCTTAAGAATGCACTGTGATGAATATGATGGTGTGGTTACTGATTTTATTCATTATATAGGCATGTATGGATGCAAAGAGAATCTGTTCTTTTCTACCCAAACTTTACTGTCCTTAGCCTTTTCTGTCTATTTCACTCATTGTCAATCATATTCCCTGCAGATATTATGAAGCTTCTTTTTTTCCTTGAAACACATTAAAGCATAGCTATTTTATGGTTTGTCTGATTATAATGATATTTGTAGTCTTTGTGGGTCTCTTTATGTTGTCTGTTGTTTCTTGTCCACTGTGACTCTTGTGTGTGTCTGCTTATTTTTTACTCTGTGCTGGTTATTGTATTTGAAAAATTATTTGTGGGACTAATGTGAATTCAGGATGAAGGCACTTTATTCCTAGGCAATTTTGGAATTTGCTTCTGTCAGCACCTGTGGGGACTATCAGTCCAGGACCCTTAATTTTATTTCAATGCTTGAGTGTCCCTAGACCACCCAGGTGATGTAAATCTGGGATGCAAGAGGTGGTGAGGGCTGGTTTACTACTGAACCACCCTGACTCTAAGCTGGGGTACCAGGTTATTGTGAGAAGGGTCTCCTATTTAATTCCTCAATTAGTATCTATCTTCGATTTGAATTTCTATTTCTCTTTCCACAAGAAACCCTCCCTTTCCGGAGAAAATGGAAATTCACATTTTTATGTTGGGTAAATAGCCTCAGGATGAAAGTGGTTTTTGTGCTCACTTAACATCCTGGGTTCTTTGGCCTGTTATTCCTTACTATCTTGTTAGCTCTTTGTGGCTGTTGGAATGATGTTTATTATTTTCAGCATTTTTTAGTTGTTTTCAGCAGAAGAGTTGGTTCAAATAATGTAGCCTGCCATTCCTGGGAACAGTAAGTCTTCTCTCTGAAAACCCTGGTCTATGCTTCATCATTCCTGATCCTTTCTTTCTGTTGTGTGCTCTCCCACTTTTCTGTCCTATTTTTTTTTTTTTTATTGTGTTCTGCTTGTGGATAGACTGGGGTTACCATACCTATATTACTGGACTGGGGTAACCAAACCAATATATTTTTTTTTTTATATATGAAATTTATTGTCAAATTGGTTTCCATACAACGCCCAGTGCTCATCCCATATCTTTCTATAATAACACTGAATGTAAATGGATTAAATGCGCCAACCAAAAGACAGAGGGTATCAGAATGGATAAAAAAACAAGACCCATCTATTTGCTGTCTACAAGAGACTCATTTTAGACCAAACCAATATTTTTTGATGTGATGTCATGGATCAACTTCTCATGATCTTTGATGAACGTCTTTATATCTCTGTCTTGAAATTAATGGTATAGAGTCCTTCTGATTTCTCCAAAATACTGTCATCTTGGTCCATTTGGACTCTGGTGTACTTTTGGGATATCTATCTTTCTAATTTTAAATTATGTCTACCATCTGAAAGCATGATAAAAATTATAGTGTGACACAGGTTAGGGGTACCAAATACTCAAATATTTGCCTATTTACAATTGTATTACATACATGTTTGCGTGCATATTTCCTTTACTTCTTGTCCTCCTAAGGGAACATTTACTAGCCTTGTTATTCTTCTTGTAATCCCCTTAGATTTGATTCCTGCCCCTCCTCCCACCAGTTTCCTCCTTGGCTTGTTTGTTGGTTCTCTTCTTTTACATACCTTAAATTTTATATTTTTTTCAAGGTTTGTCTTGTTGGATTTTTGCCTCCTTACCCTGGAAATCTCTACTATTCCTTTGGCTTCAATTGTATTCTATGTGTACCTGATAATCAAATTTTATCTCTAGCTCTGGCCTTTGTAAGGTGTTCCAAGTCTGTGTCATCACTGATTACCTGCTAGCTCTACCAGGATGTTGTCCATGTTTTAAAATTCTGCATTTCTGGGGCACCTGGGTGGCTCAGTGAAGTGTCCAACTTCAGCTCAGGTCATGATCTCACAGTTCATGAGTGTGAGGCCTGCATCAGACTCTGTGTTAACAGATTAGAGCCTGGGGCCCACTTCGGATTCCGTGTCTCCCCCCTCTCTGCCCCTCCCCCCCTCAAAAATAAACATTAAATAAATAAATAAATAAATAAATAAATAATAAAATTCTGCATTTCCAATATTGTATTCTTTCTCCTCCAGTCTCTTTTCTGGGATTATATTTTTGGTAATATTGTTAACATTTACCCAGTCTTCCTAAATAGAAACTCCAGCATCATCCTTGCCTTCTACCTCTCCCTATTCCTACATTAAAATTTTTTTTTTACATCTACTTATTTTTGATACAGACAGAGCACAAGTGGGGGAAGGGCAGAGAGAGAAGGAGACACAGAATCCGAAGCAGGTTCCAGGCTCCGAGACCAACGTGGGGCTCGAACTCACAAACCACAAGATCATGACCTGAGCTGAAGTCGGATGCTTAACCAACTGAGCCACCCAGGTGCCCCATCCCTATTCCTACATTTAAGCGATCAATCCTTCCTTTTCATTTCCACCAATATTGTACTGATCTAGTTTCATACATAATATGGATGATAATCATTGTTTATAGATTCTCTATTTGCAAATCTGCCTACTCACTAACATTTATTTATAACCCCCAAATCAATATTTATGGCAGTTTCATATTCCTGGATATGCACAGAGTGGCAAAAAATTTAAATTGCCTGACATACATGTTTCCAGCAGAGGTTCAACAAAGTGATAGTTTGTCTTCTTGTTTCAGTTCTCTGACTATGAACAAGTGTCCTTTTTTGCAACCCATTTAGTACTGGATTTTTTTATATTTGGGAGATTTTCTGTTGGTGATTTTTATAATGGGCCCCAAGCATATAGTTGAATCTAGTGTTCCCTGGTGTAGGAAGGCTGTAATGTGCCTTATGGAGAAAATACATGTGTTAATTAAACTTAATTCAGGTGTGAGTTATAATGCTATTGCTGTGAATTTGATGTTAGTGAATTAACAGTATATATTAAATAAAATTTCTTTAAACAGAAACACACTTAAAACAAGGTTGTGTATTGTTTGGTCAATAAAATGTGAACATAGGCTTACAGGAACCTAACACTGTTTTTCTCCTAGGAACAATTGTTTAGAATTCATGGCTACTTTATAGAACACAATCACCACGAAAATCAACTGTGTGTGTATAAATAGATCATACAAAATATAGTCATATATGACATATAATAAAGCATGTATATGATTAATTTCTGAACTGGTCTCCCTCTAATGCATTTTCAGTATCGCTGAAATAATTATTTTCCTAAGGTAGAATTGAATATGTTACACCTCCTACTTAAAAAAAAAGTCCTCAATTCATATTGAAAATTCCTTTTT